TACGATAAACGAATCTTTTGGTTATATTCAAATTTTTCAGTATGTTAAAAATTTGAATTGGCAACCGCAACGATGCAACGCAATAACTGCAACACGGTCTTCTTTAAGCGTCCACTCCATATTTAAAAATGAGTAAAATTCTAAAAGTATACATTTTTAGTTTCATGAACAATTCGAAATTCGAATTCAATAAACTTTTTTGTGGCCAGCATTCTAAAAGAAAAGTTTTTACCGTGTGACAATACTTATGACCTGACTAGTTATATATAAAAATGAATTGCTGTTGGTTAGTCTCGCTAAAACTCGAGAACGGCTGGACCGATTTGGCTAATTTTGGTCTTGAATTATTCGTGGAAGTCCAGAGAACGTTTAAAATGTGAATAAATATAAAAATGCTCGGAATGAAATAAAAATAACAATTTTGTTTTTCCTTTGTTGTGTCCCCCGTCGGACGGATTCCTTTTGTTTGTTTTAAGTTCATTTTATACAAAAGCTTAGGTCTTTTATTTATTGATTGAGGCACTACAAAATCTGCCGGGTCAGCTAGTAAAAGATAATTTACAATTATTTACTAATGACAAAATTTTACATATTATACTTAGACATTTAGGATAATTGAATTTTAATTTTTGAAAGTTTCACATCTACCACGTGTTAATTGCACACATTTATATTTTTTTTAGATTAATAAATCAACATAGACTGCAAAAGGAAACATAAATAAAAATGTACAGACAGTTTAATGAGTTTGCATTAAAAGCGCAATAAAAAAAGCTCAAAATCACTTATGAAATATTAATTAAAGTTTAACCTAACCAAGCTTTTGAGATACAATGTCTGGCCATGACCTAAGCTTTAAAATAATTAAAGAAGTCCGTTGCACTCTTGTGCAAGATCGCGACGCCAGATTTTAAGTCGTCTGGTTGGATTTTAAGTAACTCAGTAATATGAACAGAGACATTCTTACGACAGAGAATTGACGTCAATTAAAATCTGCGAGCAAGCTTTTTTAGTATTGCGTATATAGTAACTATTGATTGGTGTAATTTTTTTCCAGCTTCCGGCTTCCAGCTTTACGCGGACGGGTAGGTGAGCTCACGGGTTCAACCTGAGAGAATTTGCTAACACCAGCCCTAGCAAGAGCAGGGCTTCGCAGAGTCTACCACCGGATCGGAATCGCGACCCACTGAGAAAATCCGACGAGAAACTGGTGAAAAAGTCTGTTGTGTGTATGGACTACTGTGCTTAGTGCGAGTTAGTCCGCCGGATCTTCTCAGTGGGTCGCGTTTCTGATTCGGCCAGTGCTGGATTAACCATGTAGCAAGTAGCAAGAGTAGCAATTGCTACGGGCAACATTTCAATCAGCCTGATAATCAGCTCTACAAAAAGTCTTACGTATACAAGCGATTATCAGTTTTCAATTGTTAATTTCTTATCAAAATTATTCTATATAGCCAGAAAATCTCAACTCTGGCTTTTTGTACTTGTCAGAGCCTAACAGCGCCCATAGTAATTTACTATATACCCACAAAATTGTAACCTATAAATGGCAAATAAACGTATAGACTATTGATTTGTTTTTTTACCACTTTATACTTAAGAACCCATAGTAGATCAAGGGCTCTTTGAAGTAATTTGCTACGGGCCCCGCGCTTGCTTAATCCGGCACTGGATCCGGCGATAGATTCTGCGAAGCGCTGCTCTTGCTAGGGTCAGTGCTAGCAACACTCCGGTTTGAGCCCCGTGAGCTCACCTACACACGTTAGGGTGAAGCTGAAATAGCCTCTCAAGGCTGTCAGCATAGGTAGGGAAAAAAATGTGCGAGTTTTGTAACGTTCTCGACAGCGAGGCAGTTTACTCAAATTTGTATGCAATTGGAACAGTGTATAGTGGCAAACGTACTCGGTGTTATTTTGTGAGTGCGAGTTCATATTAACGTTGTGGTCTCGTAATCGAGAAATTTTACCTCTCCGCTCCTATTTAGTTTATTTACTAACGATAATAACCTTTACATTAGACGCCTTCAGCTCTAACACTAGGAGCAGGCTTAGGGACCCCGGTAACCGTACTCGTCGAACTCGACAAAGAGCTCGGCGTGCAACCTAACCCATGCATAAGCCCGCTGAGTTTCTCGCCGGATCTTCTCAGCGGGTCGCGATTCCGATCCGGTTGTAGATTCATTCGCGAAGCAATTGCTCTTGAGTTGTTAGGTCTCTTTCGGAGGCGCTCGGGCAGTTGTTAGCAAATCCCACCCCTCCTGGTTGAGCCTTTGTTCGCCCACCAGTTCTGGTGAAACTGGAAAGGCCTTCGGGCCACCAGTAATCGTTCAATCATAAAAAAAAAGTAATTTTACCGAAATGAGTAACTAGGTACCACGAATGACCTATTTTGTGCGAGTGCGTGTTACAAATTAGTGAATTTTGACGTTTCCATCGAGTATTTCTTTAGTAGTTCTATTTTTCCAACTAGAGAGGCAAAAGTGTCGTACCATAGACCCTAGTCTTTATTTATGAAAAATGATAATATGGAGTGAAATGGATTTGATTAATTTGAAACATTAATCAATTGGCATGGAATGAAATGAAATGAGATGAAATAATATGGGATAAAATAAATCTCAGTAAAATGGTGGTTATTTACTGAGATTTTTTCAGTGGACTTTTTCGAAGACCTCGAGAAGCTACGTCCAGCTGTTTTGTTTCATTTTTTTACATTTTTGCACTTTCACAGATACTAAACAGTTAATAAATACACAATATACACATAAAAACGAGTGAACGAGGTGAACGAGCTCTCGGCCCGCCTGATGTTAAGTGGTTACCGGAGCCCATAGACATCTACAACGTAAATGCCACCACCCACCTTGAGATATGAGTTCTAAGGTCTCAGTATAGTCACAACGGTTGTCCCACCCTTCAAACCGAAACGCATTACTGCTTCACGGCAGAAATAGGCAGGGTGATGATACCTACCCGTGCGGACTCACAAGACGTCCTACCACCAGTAATTACACCAATTAATCTTGCGGATTTGATTTTTATTACACGATGCTATTCCTTTACAGTGAAAGTCAATCGTAAACATTTGTTAAGTACGTATTTCACTAGAAAAATTGATACCCGCCGGCGGGATTAGAACACCGGTGGTGCATCGCAAGTAACAAATGCACCAGACGCCTTAACCTTTAGGCCACGACGCGTATCCGCCCCCAATTAGGATTCCCTGTGCTATGGCTACTAGAGACTGATAAATGTTTACATATATTATATACACTTAAACATGATAATCATCCAGACAAAGAGAAAAAAATCTGTTCATCACAAAAAGTTTGCCAAAAGCGGTAATTGAACCCACGACCTTCAGCGCAACACCCAGGAGCACTAACTATTGCAACACAGAGTCCGTCAGAGCGTTCCTATTTTAGTGCTCTGTGGCACTGTTATCACCAAAGACGTACAATGATAGTGAAAAAATACACAAAAAATATCACAAGATTACTTTAATAAGTCATTAAATTTTGTAAATACATTTATTATGCATTCTTTCATAAAACTTACTAACAAATCAAATAGTAGATATTGGACTCTTTTCATTTTTACAAAATCCAACAAACGTGCTCTTAGTGCGAGTTTGGTAAAATAAATCAAATTGATCTAACAACTGCGCAAATCGAATTTACGTTCTACTCAGTGAAAAATGAAGAATAATAATTGAGGCCTATAAAATCGAAGGCAGCTAAACGCCTTAATGTCGTAAAATGGATTAACAATGGCTCTATCTTGTTTAGTTAGTTGAACACGCTTTAGTGTTTTAATGTTATAACAAATGCAGCTACTAGTGGTAGAACCTCTTGTGAGTCCGCACCACCGCCCTGCCTATTTCTGCCGTGAAGCAGTAATGCGTTTCGGTTTGAAGGGTGGTGCAGCCGTTGTAACTATAGTGAGACCTTAGAACTTATACCTCAAGGTGGGTGGCGCATTTACGTTGTAGATGTCTATGGGCTCCAGTAACCACTTAACACCAGGTGGGCTGTGAGCTCGTCCACCCATCTAAGCAATAAAAAAAAAACCTCTAAGAAATTCAGTTCAAAAATTTCATTTTTACTCTGTACTAAGTACTAATAAACGAAGTTTTATCATTTAAAATTCAGGTTATTAGTAATATTCTCATTCTTTATAAATCTGCTTTAAAATAAAGAATATCGTAGCTATTCGAACAGTTATTTCAGCTTCTCAAACCGGGAGTGTTGCTAACACTGGCCCTAGCAAGAGCGGTACTTCGATGGATCGGGAGGATCTGTAATGACGTGCTTAGGGCCGATTTTTGTAGTTTACCTGAATATTTGACAGACTTGGATTTAGCTGCCTTTGATTTTATAGGCCTCAATTGTGAGTGTGAGTCATTGATATATAAAAACCCAAGATACACAGTTTCATACAAAAGTAGCACTCGAACTGTCCCGAAACACTCACCAATTCTATCTACGCAGTTATAGTTAAACATATCTTTTGCAAATTCAACTTTACGCGCATTGTTTAAAGTTGTTATTACGAAGCAGTGTACAATGACCAATGAAATTTTACGACCGAAGTTAGGCGGCAGGACAGGACATGGAGTGGAGACGAATATTTGTATATTTTTTTTTTATTATAAGACATTGAGTTAGTATTTTAAGAGTTAGTTAAATTGTGTTCTATACCCATAATTATACTTTCATCTGAGCGTAAATATGTTTTTGGGTAGGACATGTGTACATCAATCTTTAAATCTTTTTTCTAAAACTTTTAATGCATTCTTAAGTGAAATGGTCTTTTTAACAAGTCTAGATTTTTCTTTCTTAAGTTGTTAATGACTTTCTCCTTGCTAATTAGCCTTCTGCGGCATTTTTCTTTTATTTTTTATTGCCCTTGTAGGCAGACGAGCATACGGCCCACCTGATGGTGAGTGGTTACCGTCGCCCATGGACTTCAGCAGTGCCAGGGGCAGAGCCAAGCCGCTGTCTACCGCAAAAGTTTGTGGAGTTCACTTTTTCTGTGAACTTTTCGAGGTGTATCCAAAATTGAGCCGTAGTAGTACAAGTAGAGAAAAGTACTTAGAGAAGTTGTAGGAGATTTGAATTCCTTGTTATTTTCTAAATAATACATTGATCCTGTACGACAGACTTCAGTATCACCGCCATCATCTGTTATATCTTTGTTGACTGACGATTGATGTCCATTCTCCGCATCGTATCGGGTTACGAGGAAAACTAAAATATAAAAGTTAGAAATAAAACATGCAAATAAAACAACTCGTTTTTTTTTTATGATTGAAAGATTACTGGTGGCCCGAAGGCCTTTCCAGTTTCACCAGGACAGATGGGCGAGCAAAGGCTCAGCTAAGAGGGGTGGGATTTGCTAACAACTGCCCGAGCGCCTCCGCGAATGAATCTACTACCGGATCGGAATCGCGACCCGCTGATAAGATCCGCTTGTTCAATAGTCACCCGTAATTTATACCCTACAAAAATCGAAATCAACCTTCTTAAAATAAAAAAAGTGTCATAAAAGACTAGGCAGTCATGAAGACTGCCGACAGAGTGAATTTTTTTAGTTTTTAACAATGTGACGGGGTTGGGTCAGAGCGACACTTCTGTCATTAGCATGCGGTATGTCGCGAAACGATAAGTTGTCCCTTAAGTAATCGATATAATAATATCATATTTACGAACTTTAAAAATAGCGTCGTATGGACGACCTCTTTTTCTTCTGGAATTCGATTAAGAACTATATCATTATTATAATATATTTTCTATCGTATGAATAGTTATTCAACACTAAATATAAAACAATTCAAAGTGCATTAAACTTATTAATTAAAACTTTAAGCACAATAAAAAAAAATCGACTCCATGGAATAAGAGCAGGATCGTTTGGATTATGCGACTAAAATAAAAGGCCTAGTAATAGTAGTTCTTACACGAAAAATACGGCCATTGAGATTTGCCGTATTATACTTGAACCTTTGAGTGAAGTTTTTAGACAAATTAAATCAAAATCACTTAATGCTCCCTATATTTAGTCATAAAAAAAAACAAATATAAATTAAAAAACTCTTTTGCTTACCGAATATACGATATCCCATCGTATAGTCGATAGCTTCGCCGAGCAATCTTGGCGGGCCCGGGAGAAGATTGCTGCCCACGGATATCGCCTGAGTCTTCGCCACGTTGACTTTCAACCTCCTGTCATTCAGGATGGCTATACTAAGAAATGTTGGATTCATTCATCCCCTGAATCAATAAGTTACCTTTGTGACATTGACGAGAAGAGATCGGGTTCTGCTGTTCTGGGACCGACTGCACAGCCATTTAGTAAATAACCTTTCTCTTATCTGTTTCGTGAAAAATCTATAGAATGTCTTATTACTGAAGCACTATATTAATATAATTCTTGTTGTTTATTATTAAAAAAACATTGACAACAGACAGCCTGAGACAGCAAAACAGCTGTCTACATATTACAATACAGCGAAATTGAGTATGTAAATATAGTGTCTTCGTCTATCTATATCTATACTAATATTATAAAGAGAAAAGATTTGTTTGTTTGTTTGTTTCGAATAGGCTCCGAAACTACTGGACCGATTTGAAATAATCTTTTTCCATTAGAAGCCGACATTGTCCCTGATGAACATGGCTACTTTTAAAAAAAAAAAAATATTTTTATTTTTTTGGTTTCATGTGTGTTTTAATGTTTCCGAAGCGAAGCGAGGGCGGGTCGCTCGTCTAATAATAAAAAAGGACTTTTCCCAAGACAATTGGGTAATATAGGTAATTATTGGTGGTAAGACTTCTTGTGGCTCCGCACGGGTCGGTACCACCACCCTGACTATTTCTGCCGTGAAGTAGTAATGCATTTCGGTTTGAAGGGTGGGGCAGCCGTTCTAGTGTAAAAACCTTAGAACTCATGTTTCGAGGTGGGTGGCGGTTTTGCATTGTAGATGTCTATAGGCACCTAACCACTTAACACCAGGCGGACCGTTAGCTCCTTCACCCATATAAGCAATAAAGAAATCTTTTAGCAGGAAACAGATAAAACAGCAATGGAACTAACGACGCTAAATAAGATACGCTAAATAAGATATGGATTTACTGGTGGTAGGACCTCTTGTGAGTCCGCACGGGTCGGTACTACCACCCTGTCTATTTCTGCCGTGAAGTAGTAATGCATTTCGGTTTGAAGGGTGGGACAGCCGTTGTAACTATACTTGAGACCTTAGAACTTATATCTCAAGGTGCGTGGCGCATTTACGTTGTGGATATCTATGGGCTCCAGTAACCACTTAATATCAGGTGGGCTGTGAGCTCGTCCACCCAGCGAAGCAATAAAAAAAAAAAGATAGCTCCAACGAGTGATATAAAATAATCTAAATTATAAATTGAAAAATAAACACGTTTTGAATCACAATGAAGCCACACGCTAATATTAGTGCTGCGTTTTTTACTTTGTAACAGAAGACGACATTGCTCGATAATGCTATTTATCACAATGACGGCACAGACAACGCTTGTTTTGTGGTACAAAAACTTTTAGTATAACTAATTTGGAAAATGTTATTTGAATTAAATAAATTAGCGTAGAGGAGTCTGGTCGGTATATCGAAGCGATGAAGGACAATGTCTGGATCGGATGGGTTGTGAATCCTCGACTGGTATTAATTAAAAATCATCATCTCTTCTCAGATATAGATTTTTCTGTCCACTTTTACCTAGTCCGAACTTCTTCACGCACAAGTTATTACAGTATACGCTACAATTTTCTAACCAACATCATATGATGCAGCTTGCTGACGAAGGCGGCTTGGGGCGAGATGAAATTTCCACCTGGCTTCAGATTCGGGGCTGCAACCGCTGCTTATCAGATCGAAGGTTCCTGGAACGTGAGTGGTACGTAGATTTTTTTTTTATTGCTTAGTTGTGTGGACGAGTTCACAGCCCACCTGGTGTTAAGTGGTTACTGGAGCCCATAGACATCTACAACGTAAATGCGCCACCCACCTTCAGATAAGCTCTAAGGTCTCAGTATAGTTACAACGGCTGCCCCATCCTTCAAACCGAAACGCATTACTGCTTCACGGCAGAAATAGGCGGGGCGGTGGTACCTACGTCAATGTGACAAAAGTAATGTGGCGGGCAGCCATCATACAACGCAAGATAATTGACAGATACCTGAATCTCGCTTACGACATTTTCAAGATAAAGCGCATATATACAAGTTTTTACCCTTTGTCGTTAAGACTCCCAAAGTAACTTATTGATTCAGAGGATGAATGAATTCAACATTTCTTAGTATAGCCATCCTGAATGACAGGACAGAAATAGGCGGGTTGGTGGTACCTACCCGTGCGGACTCACAAGAGGTCCTACCACCCAGTAATTACGCAAATTATAATTTTGCGGGTTTGATTTTTATTACACGATGTTATTCCTTCACCGTGGAAGTCAATCGTGAACATTTGTTAAGTACGTATTTCATTAGAAAAATTGGTACCCGCCTGCGGGATTCGAACACCGGTGCATCGTTCAACACGAATGCACCGGACGTCTTATCCTTTAGGCCACGACGACATCAATTTGTCTTGTTATCGATGACGTCACTGAGATAAGCCACATGACGCACATTTCCCACTCACAATTACCCTCACATGTTCCCGCTGTCAATTTTGCTTTTACTATCGTATCAGATAATGTTCTGGGTTTTGTTTTTCTTCAGATAAAGCCGAGAGCGTATGGGATAGGTTTACACATGAACATAAATATTACGTGGACTCTGGAAGCAATGGTGATGTCGCCTGCGACTCCTACAACAGGTGGAAGGATGATGTACGAATTGCAAAGGAGTTGAACTTACACTTCTATAGGTATGGTTGGTTTTTTTTAACTTACGCTGGCAAATGAGGAATTTATGGTTTTCCTGACGCTACGGCGTCTTCTGAGCCCATAAGGGTAGGTACCACCACCCTAGTTATGGCTGCCGTGAAGCAGTAATGCGTTTCGGTTTAAAGGGCGGGACAACTGTAGGACTGAGACTTAGAACTGATGTTTCAAGGTGCGTGGCGGCATTAACGTTGTTGATGTCTATGGTCTTTGATTACTCAAAACTAGGTAGGGCGTTCGTCCACCAGTCCAAGTCGATAAAAAAAATACCAAACTGAGATTTTGACAATTTTTTTTATTGCTTAGATGGGTGGGTTAAGTGGTTACTGGAGCCCATAGACATCCACAACGTAAATGCGCCACGCACCTTGAGATATAAGTTCTAAGGTCTCAGTTTATTCAATACAACGACTGCCCCATCCTTCAAATCCACGCGCATTACTGCTTCACGGCAGAAATAGGCAGGGTGGTGGTGCCTACCCGCGCAGACTCACAAGATGTCCTACCACCAGTAAAAATCTTCATACAAACTTCACGGTTTTCGTGAATACGGCTGGACGACAATCATTGATTATTTTTGTACTGTCTGAATAATTAAAAATAAATAATAGTTTGAAAAAACCAACAAAATACGCTTTTATAGAAAATCCAACAAAAACATAGTAAATAAATTTTAATAAATTTGAATTAAAAACAGTGTAAGAAAAAAAGATTTTATTGTAAAAAAAAACGTATAACAGTGTATTTTGTTAGTATTAAACTATTATTTATTTTTCATTTTTTAGTTGAATTTCAATTTTTTCCTTTTTTTTTCAATTATTTTTCAGTATTGAATTGTCATCGGTCCTTAATAAGCATACCAAATTTCGAGTTAATCCGACGTTTTGAAAGGGGTCAAAATCATGTTCAAAGATTCCGTTACATACATACACGGAATAGATAAATAAGGTTGGAATGGTAATGTAGGCGGGGCAAGCGTGCCACAGTTATGATTCTACAAACATAACTCGACCGATTCTTTCATTCACCGCGTTTAGTGCGCTTCCGACTATTTTGGCGAACAGATCTCCGGTTTATAGCGCCGTGTTGTGCAATTATAACTTGTAAAACAAAAAATCAGACCTTAAGTATAGAGCGAGGAGGTATATCTTTCGATCGGTAAGTCGAAATTACCATTTAATTACAATATTATTTGTCTAAAACATAAAAATATACTGAGCATTATGAAATNTTGTCATTATTTGACATGCGAATTTTAGTGCAGTGCATAGTTATAATATTATATAATTTACCATTCATTCATCCATAATTCAACTAATAATTAAAAATCCATTTATTTTCAATGTCATCCCTAAGAAAATCATTTATGTGATAATAATTTTCACTAATAAGATTACCTTTTAGGTTTTTTTTTAAATTAAAATCATCTAAGTCTGACAACTGAACAAAACATTGCGAAACAACGCATAACGCGAAATGAGAATGTTTCAAAAACCTCGAATGCTTCGCTAAATGAGAGTTCAGAAGTTTTATTAGCTACTGCTTTGGTAAAGGTGAAAGCGCCTAATGGAACCTATCATAACATGCGAGCTTTGTTGATAACCGAAGCTGCAGCCCAAACATTGGGATTAAAGCGTCAAAGATGCAAAGGGGTGATATTTGGTGTAGGCCAAAACGAAAACATCTGCAAAGTAAAGATAATAATGTAATGCTCCTCAATTAACAATGACTTCAATTTCAAACTAGAGGCGCTCATTATGAACAATTTAATAAAAAGTTTACCAAACAAAACATTTTCTAAGCCTGCGTGGTCATACTTGAACAATATCAATTTAGCTGATCCCGAGTTTTACAAGAGACGGCCAGTCGATCTACTGTTCGGTACCGATATCTACGCTAACATTATTCTGGGAGGAGTGATTAAAGGAGAAAACTTACAACAACCCATGGCTCAACAATCACAGTTAGGATTGTTTTTATGCGGAAGTATTAAAACTTATCAGTGTAATGTGGCTCTGAATAACGTGGAAGAAATACATAAATTTTGGGAGGTGGAAGAAATCCACGAATCGACGAATATTTCAGTAGAAGATCAGGAATGTATAGACTTTTACTGCTCAACAACAAAACGCATCGAATATGGTTGATATGAAGTGAGATTGCCTCTAAAGGAGGATTTAAAACATAATTTAGGTAAATCGAAATCAATGGCGATTGCTCAACTGAAAAATTTAGAACATAAGTTTAATAAGCAGAAGGATTTGGCACTCAAATATAAAACATTTATGAACGAATATGCTGAATTAGGGCATATGATCCCAGAAAACAACAAAAACATAAAACAAGAATGCTATATGCCTCATCACGGTATTTTACGTGAAGAATCTTCATCATCAAGCTTAAGAGTCGTGTTCAATGGGTCAGCTTCAACATCTTCTAAATGAAGTTTAAATGACATTATGCATAAAGGATCTAATCTACAGAAGAATTTATATGTTCTCTTATTACAATGGAGACAGTTTCCGTATGCATTTACCGCTGACATTGAGAAAATGTATCGACAAATTTTAATAAATAGCTATGATCAACGACTTCAGAAAATTGTATGGAGACAGTCACCAAAACAACCGATACAGTCATTCCAACTAACAACAGTCACTTACGGAACAAAAGCAGCACTATTTCTAGCAATGATGACGTTAAAACAACTGGCATTAGATGAACGAGACAAATACCCAGAAGCGGCAACAGTCTTAGAAGGATCCTTTTACATGGATGACCTTCTGGACGGGTGCAATTCTATAGAGAAAGGTAAAAAATTGATATCAGATTTAAAGGAGCTCTTGAAGTCGGGCGGATTTAATCTCAGAAAATGGTCATCAAACAAACATCAACTTCTCGAACAAACACAAGAATGTAACGATAAAACAATTTTTTACTTTAAGGTGGACGACACTTTGAAAACATTAGGCTTACGTTGGAATCCGAAAGAAAATCACTTTACATTTAAATGCAACTGCTTGAAGTCTACAACAAAACTTACCAAACGGAATTTTGCTATCAGAAATATCTAAATTGTTCGATCCACTGGCTGGTTAACACCACTTTCAACGAAACTAAAATTACTATTCCAAAGACTATGGAAGAAAGATTTGATGTGGGATGATTTAGTGCTTTTTATTTTTGTTTTATGATTGAAGTATTACTGGTGGCCCGGAGGCCTTTCCAGTTTCACCAGAACAGGTGAGCGAGCAAAGGCTCAGCCAGGAGGGGTGGGATTTGCTAACAGCTACCCGAGCGCCTCCGAAGGAGACCTAACAGCTCAAAAGTAGCTGCTTCGCGAATGAATCTACTACCGGATCGGAATCGCGACCCGCTGAGAAGATCCGGCGAGAAACTCAGCGAGCTGATTCATGGGTTAGGTTGCACGGCGAACTCTTTGTAGAGTTCGACGAGTACGGTTACCGAGGTCCCTAAGCCTGCTCCTAGTGTTAGAGCTGAAGGCGTCTAATGCAAAAGTTATTGAATCTGATGGATCCGTAAGGACGTGTCTAGGGCGTCGACGGTGACTGGCTCCTGCGTGATCAGCGGGGAGTAGTCAGCGGCGGCAACGATAAGGCGATTATCATGACGCATAGCCTTATCGAAGTGCCGTTCCGACGCTGACTTCATGTATTTCTGGATAGATTCGAGGCCCAGGTCGTCGTGTAGGTCAACGTTCCTCACGAACCACGGGGCTCCGACGGCTAACCTGCAAAAGCGGGATTGTAGAGATTGGAGGGTGTCTATGTGCGTGCGGGCCGCGTGAGCGAACACCACACTCGCGTAAGTCATGACGGGCCTTATGCAAGTTTTGTAAAGTGTCACCTTGTTCCGAAGGGACATTTTACTCCGCTTATCATGGGGTAGAGTCTACCGAGAATAAACGCGGCACGGTCACGGACTGATTTTATATGCGGGCGGAATCTCATCGATGCATCCAGGGTAACGCCCAGGTACTTGACCTTCCTGGCCCAGGGTATGGGTTAAATGATTTAGTGCCTGAAGATGTTCATATTGAGTGGTCAACATTGACGACAGACATCGATAACACCAACAATTGTACCATACCCAGGTGGATCTCATCAGAAGAGAATAATATTATTGAATTACATGGATTCTGTAATGCGTCCACTTCTGCCTACGCTTGTGTGGTGTACGGTCACTCTAAAAATCTACAGAACATAACGCTTCTAGCAGCCAAGTCGAAGCTCGTATCCCATAAGAAAGCCTTAACATTACCACGGATTGAACTTTGTGGGGCTCATTTGCTTTTTAAGCTCATTAAACTTATCAAAGCAAGTTTAAATTGTCGATTCGAGCTCTACCGCTGGTGTGATTCAATGGTCGTTTTAGGTTGGCTGAATGGAGAGCCAAACCGTTGGAAATCGTTCGTTGGTAATAAAGTTACTGCTATAACATCAATAATTCCAGCCGAGGACTTACTGGCGATCAGTTGGTAAACCATGCTTTATGGTGGAACGGACCGTCATGACTAAAAACATTTAAAAGAGAACAGGAACAATTAATATATAAAACAGAAGAAGAAACAAAAAAAAACAAGAAGTTAGTTCACGTTTTACAACATGAAAACAAAAAATATGTTATTGATTATTTATTACAACAATTTAGCACAGTTCTAAAAATTGTTCGCGTATTAGCACGGATAAGAAGAGCATTGACACCTATTGTGCAGCGTAAATAATTACCGTCGTACCTAACTTTACAAAAACTGCGCAATGCCAAATCAGCTATTATAAAAGAACGGAGTTTAGGTCCGATATAGAAAAATTAAACAAAAATGAACAAGTTGCGTCGAACAGTAAATTAATAAATTTAAAACCGTTCATCAATCAAGACGGTGTCCTACGTGTTGGAGGTCGACTAAAGAACGCGAACATGAGTGCTGAAATGAAACATCCCAAAATAATTCCTAACAAGGGCCGGTTAGCCGAATTATTAATAAACGAAGCACATGAGTTAACATTTCAC